ATTCAACGGAATTATAATTGGCAATTATAGGTAATAAATTTCATAACGAGAGTAATAAAAATAATTAGGATTGAAAAATTTTTTTTTTTTTTCGTCATTTTGAAAGAAAAACTTCTTCCCTTTTCGTGACTCGTACCCGGAAGCAAATAAATAATTAAGTAATAATTATTACCAACAAACCTAACCTTCGGAGTAATTTTTTTTTTTTATTCATCCTGCCTTGAACGCATTGGAAAGAAAAATTAAAAAAGGGGGGTAATAAATTCGACGAACTTTTTTCTTATTTTCGAATAACTCATCATATCGATAAAATTTTATTACCGTAAGAAAATTTTCTCGTTTTCAAAATTTTCCCGTTTGATTTTTTTCCTCGTCTCTCGCCTTGAAAAAAAATTTATTACTTATTACGCCACTGTCGATATTTATAAAATAAATTATTATATTAATTTCTTTTGTCGGTACATTACCAACGTGCCGAAATAATAAATAAAAAAAATTTTTATTTATTTATTTATTTATTTCGCATTTAAATTTTATTTCAGGGCCGTCGTCCGTATTTTTTCAATTTTTTTTTGCCCATTTTAAAATCCTTATTAATATTATTATTATTATTTTAATTACGAAACCAATTACTTGAGAGATAATTTCAATTATTATTATTTTTTTTTTTTTTTTACATAAAGTCACGGATTTTAAAAATTATTAAAATTTTTATTATTAAAAGTTTTTTAAAAAGCTTAAAATTCAAGGCTCACGATGAAGTTGTTATCATTATTATTATTATCATTATTATTATTATCATTATTATTATTAACGCGCCTATAAAAATTTAAATTTATTAATATCACACACGCACACACGCACACACACACGCACCGGAAATTCTTCAAATAAAATTAATACCCATTTCGGGACATGTATGTGTGTTGTTATTGATCTTTGAGTGAGCGGGGGGTGGGAAGAAGGGGAGAAAGGGGGAAAAGGAAGAAGAGAAGGAGGTCAAGTTAAACTTCTTCTTTTTCGGAAGAATAAATTTTTCTAAAAAAAAAAAAAAAATTACTTCAAGTAATAAAAATCAAAAATTTTCCTACGATAAAATTTTCAATTTGATTCGACCTGACGTGTATC